CCACGTTGGTCACCAAGGTTATTAATTTTACCTTTGCAATTTCCCTTTGTCTTTCTCCACTCACCTCTTCAGTCCAGGCTAATATCATCTCCCCGCTGGAGGTTTACGAGAGCCATGTACTTCTACGCTTATTCACCCTTGTGTCTGCTTCCATCCAGTCACCACACTTTTCAAAACAGATCTGATGAGGTTACCACCAGCCCCATCCACACGCAAAACTCTTCAAGGGCCAATAGAAAGGGGCCCTAATCCTAATTATTGCCGCCGCTCTCACAATGCACATGATAGATGCGTGTGACTTGCTTTGACCAGTGGAAGGTGATCAGAGGTGACATGTGCCAGGGCTAAAGAGAAGCCCCAGGGGCATTCCAAGGAGTTGTCCTCCTGCATGAGAAAGGCATGACCCAAATTCAAGTTGCTTCTTCAACCTGGGTCCCCCAGTCAAGAGGACCCCAGAGCAGAGCCACAGCTGGCCCAGAGTCAAGATGCAACATGAGTGAGAAATAAACCTTTGTTCCTGGAAGTTACTGAGACATTCAAATCTGTTTGTTACGCAGCATCATCTAGTGAATGCTAACTAATCCATGGGGCTTCTCATTACACTTAGATTAAAACACAAAATCTGTAACTTGGCTTCAAAGCCCTGCTTTCATTCCCTTAGATTAGCCTTGATTCCCCACACCAGGCCTGTGTTCAGTGTTGTTAATGGCCACTTCAGACTTCAGCTTAAAAGTCACTTCTTTAAGGAAAGGGTCCCTGATCCCTCAGTCCACCCACACACACCTCTCCTGCGTGGAAGGTCTCAGATTTGTAATTTTATATTTATTTGATTGTTATCCCTACTTCTCCTGAAAGCATTAATTACGATTGTAATTTCTTTGATTACTTATTTAATGCCTACCCCTCCTCCGACCACCACACACTCAAACACACACTCTTGAAGCCTCAGAACAATACTTTCTGGTTTTGCTAACCATTGAACCTTGGCACCTGGGAAGTTTTCAACAAATTTTTATGAATGAATGGACTGACTCACAGATGACCAAATACCACAGCTTGAAAGTCTATTATACAATGTAAATGTAACAATTATTGAAAGCATTTGCTGAATTGAGCAGCATGATGAAATGTTGGTCCTTCATCTTAGAGCAGTAACCACATGATAGTAGTCATCTGGAGGTCTCTCTGCTCCCGTATCAACACCATCCCTGCCTCTGAAGAGCAGATAATCAATAACACCTTAGTCGTGTAACATGTGGCCTCACAGCAGTGGTTCTCAAACCCTCACCTGCATCAGAATCACCTGAAGGGCTTGTTAAAAGCCCAGACTACAGGGTCCCACCCCATAATTGCCGGTTCAGTGGTGTGAGGTGGGACTCAAGAACCTGCAGCCCCGCATGTCCTGAGCAGAGTGATGCTGCTGGCCCGGGGGCCACGCCGAGAGCCACCGCCTTAGAATTCACAAAGCTCTTTCACTTAGGGAGTTAGGAAGAGAACATAACTTCTGTGCCCCAGGGCCTTCGTACTGGTTATGTCGTGGACTCCTGAAGCCACCATGGCCCCAGCTCGGACGCTCTCACTCCACACCCACCCCTGCTCCACACCCCAACACACCAGCTGCTTCTACTCAAGCAGCCAAACCTCTACCCCAAAATGTCCATTCTTAAACCTGCCGCATCATTGTGAATGAGGCACAGACACGCAGAACTCAGTGTTCCCATTTATTTCTTTACGTTATAAAATGTATGGTTTGCTCAGTAGAATTGGGAGAATGGAATGGGACCCAACTTCCAATTGAGTAGAAAGTTAAATTCATCTGTGCTTCAAGAATGAGCTGTGAGCGTGAAGAAAGCCAATGGGGTAGCTGCCCACCCCCCCCCAGCACCTCCACCTCGCCCGGCCCGTTTCTCCCTGAGTGGGGCCCTCTTTCCTTCCCTTCAGTATCCGAGGGCTGTTCAGTTTTCTTCCACTCGCACTGCCCCCACACCCCCACCTCTGTCAAACCAGCTTTCAGATCCATGCTCACACCAGAAACCACTGTAACCAAGTAAAGGGGGGAGAGATTTTTTTACAGGGGTCTAAACCTTGAGCTAAGAGGATTAAAATTTGAACTGGAATTTCAGGGTAACTAAGACCACTTTTCTGGGAGTCCGAAGTAGAAGAGAGTTGAAGTACAAGGGGTCAGGGTTGGCAACGAGACAAAGGTGAAAAAGCAAGAGGTCAGAGGACTTGTGAAGATGCAACATGAGAGGTCAGGGGTCCCAGGCAGGGGAAGGCACGGAGGAGAAGTGGTGTAGGCCGATCTGCATGGTGGCCCCAGCATCACAAGGTTATGCCATCCACTGATAATAGGAACTGTCTTCTCTGTTCTCCCAAAGTCCCGCTAGGGCTGTCCAAATGTCACGTTCGCTGGCAGTTGGCCATTTTTCTTTGGCTGGTGTTATGGGCTGAGTTGTGTCCCCCTAATATTCATATGTTGAGTCCTAGTCCCCAGAACCTCAGAACGTGACTGTACTTGGAGATGGGTCTTCAAGGGAAAGCCTAAGTTAAAATGAGGTCACATGGGTGGCCCCAACCCAGGATAACTGGTGTCCTCATAAGAAGAGATTAGGACACAGACACGCACAGAAGGAAGACCATGTGAAGACACAGTGAGAAGGCAGCTGTCTGCAAGCTAAGGAGAGAGGCCTCAGAAGAAACCAACCCTGCTGACATCTTGATCTCGGACTTCTAGACTCCAGAACTGTGAGAAATTAAATTTCTGTTGTCGAGGCCCCCCAGTGTGTGGCCCTTTGTTACGGCAGCCCTCACAGACGAATCCAGTCAGTATTGAAGTTTTGCAGATCCATATAAAGGAGAGTCATTAGACGGGAGAGGGGAGCCGGGGCCAGGCTGGGGTGGTGGGGAGCTACAGCGGAGAAAGCCCTGTCCCCTCTTGTAGCTGAAGGAAGGGGGCTTCTGCAGAGCTTGCAACCCAACGGGTAAACGAGAACCACGTTTTCTGCAAAACTCTATGGATAAAGGAAGAGTGATGACATTGGCACCCAAGCTCTGCTGACCTCACTCTCATGGGTGATGCCCAGCCTGTCACTGAGCACTGATGACAGATGACCAGGAAGGGGAATCTTGATGCTACCAGGGCAATCAGTCACACATCAGGCATGGATGGACATCCATAGAGTTAGTGGGATTTATGTGTCAGGCACATACAACATAAAGGAAACCTCTTATACAGAGATCTTGATTGAAAAGAATGATTTTTTCATGAAGGGATCCTACCAGTATTTGTTATAGAATGATAACAGCAAAAACAAAAGATCTCAATAGTCCCTTAGTTAAATACACAAACACTTCAAGAAGGGAAGAACTGAAAATAAGCAGCTCCCTTCCAGCCTAGGCAGAACCCTGCGCATCCTCTTGCAAGTTGGGCCTCACCTTTCACCGGCGTTGGGCTCCCTAGCCAACCATGTCGTGTGTCCTCCCCTCCTCACGACATCAGGCCTCCCACCCCACCTCTGGCTCGCCTGTGCATCCAGAGCCCCGCCTTTCTCTGAAACTTCCACAGCCCAGCTCACAGCCAGGAAATGGAAGGACTAAGGGGATGGTGGGAAAGTTCTTCCCGGTCCTGCTCAGGATTCTGTTTTGCATGAGGACCACCCCAGCGTGGTGAAGCACAGATGAAATACACCCCCATTTGTATAAAACGAACAGCCGACCCCAGAATAAAAGCAAGGAGTGTGGGTACGGCAGAGTTCTTCACACCACTGCTTGCAAAGACCACATAAGACAGCTGCAGAGCTGGCTGCTCCGTAAACGCAAGCATCTAAGGAAAACTGCCGGGCTGTATAATTCTTAGTCACTTTAAAAATTTCGAGTTAGGGGGCTGGCCCCGTGGCCGAGTGGTTAAGTTCGCGTGCTCCGCTGCAGGCGGCCCAGTGTTTCGTCGGTTCGAATCCTGGGCGCGGACATGGCACTGCTCGTCAGACCACGCTGAGGCAGCGTCCCACATGCCACAACTAGAGGAACCCACAACAAAGAATACACAACTACGTACCGGGGGGCTTTGGGGAGAAAAAGGAAAAAAATAAAATCTTTAAAAAAAAAAAAAAAATGTCGAGTTAGTCTCATAGATACTACATTTCTCCATCTGTCGCTATTCCTGGCCCCACTCTCCTTTTTCTGTTAATTTTTTATGCGTAATCAGAAAGGTATCTTTTCTTGACCCCAAACCCTGCTTTATTTTGCTGAGTCTGGAGTGCTTGTGTGGCTAGTAGCACTCTGTCCACCTGCTCCCCGCCCCCACCAGCCCACAGCATCACCTCTTGCTGTTTGATGCATCCATGGATGCTCAGCAGGTGGGACAGAATGTCCAGACCCCCCAAGAAAAGGTGGGACAGAGCAGATCAGTGGTAGGATTTCACTCCCATCAGAACCCATTTCCATCGCTGAAATGTGCGTTTCTCACTGAATCCCAAGTCTTCACACTTGTTTTAGGATAGGATTTAACATGAAATGTGAAATATTTGCTTAGTGACACTCGAGTTCGGTCTGTACACTGATTCCACGGTGCTAATCCCCTTGGAGGGGAGCAGCTTAAGACTGGAGCTGGCAAGAAGCGCCTCCCCTCGGAGATCTGCTCCCCATCTCAGTGAAACCTACTGGAGGGAGAGAGCAAGGGGAGAGCAGGGAAGCAGCTGTATGTAAACTGGCCCTCAGCCCCGGGCTCCCCCACCCCACAGCCCCAGCCATAGCACTGAGGACCACATAGGAGGCCAATTTTATCACTTGTCCTCTCTAAGAGGTGAAAAGTTATAGCACTGTGCACTCCTTTCCAATTTTCTCTCTTTCTCTAAGAGCCAACAGTGGTTCAGAATGCAGTTTTAGAGTCCTAGATTAGGTTCAAATTCTGACTCTGCCATTTCCTGTGACACCTTGGACAAATCATTTTAAATTTTTAGTAGATTTCATTTCCTCCTCTGAAAATCAGCATGGTAGTAGCATCTACCCCATAAGGGTTTTATAAAAATCAAACGGGGTAATTTGTGTAAAACACCCAAGATAATGGTGGCAGATAAGAAGGGATCAATCGACAGTAGTTGTTGAAATCATTTTATTGTTATTAGCATATAGGCTTCTCACAAAGATTACATAACATAATGAGTCCTGTTGTGGTTTTTATAAAAGAAAAGTCAACTGACATTGTACTCATTTTACAGGTAAAAAAACAAAATAGCAAAAGCTTAAGTCACTGGCACATGGCACAACAATGTGGAAAGTGACACCCTAGCTTCATAATTCACTGTGTACTAATCCCAGCTGTGGGCCTGTTATTGATGCTTTGGGGGAGCCCCCAGAGAGAACCCCATGGTGGTGGCAGCAGCAGTAGCTCTTCTCATTAGCTCTGTTGATGGCGTGCCTGGGAACACTGAGGCTAATACACAGCTCCGGTGAAATATCTACTTTGTGGCCCTTGCTTTGGTCTGTACCCCAATTCCATGGTGCTGCAAAACCAAGGCAGACCTAGAAAACATGTTACTGTTGGGATCGGGGATACAGAGTCAACACCACTGCCTCGCCAGGGGACTCCATTCACATGTTGTGGAATATACAATATACTGTGAATGATGTTCCCTGTAGTCATGCAAACTGTGGGTTGCAGGAAAAAACAGAAGAAGAATGACTGCATTCCTACTCTTTCCCAACCATCCATGTGAGAGTCTGGAGCCTGAAGAGAAGAGAAACAAGTTAATGATCCATGGAAGCAGGAATAGTCAAGGGAGTTTATGAACAAGAAGAGCTAATATTCCCTTAATTTGTTTGCAATACTCAAGTGTGTGATGAAACTCCACTACGGTGGCACCAAACCTACATCCATCTTTGAGTTGATAGTACTTTGCTGTATGGAAGGATTAAGACATGAGTGTTCTGGTAAATGTTTAACAATTGCTCTCTTGAGAATAAAAGTCTAGACAGATAGTGTTTCCCAATTCCCATGGTGTAAATACGTCCATTACAGTCATTTCCAAGCTACCAACATGACCCCACTGAAGCAGAGCTGGGAAGGGATTCACATAATTAGGGCCAGGGCTCACAAGAGCATGGAGACAATGAGGGAAAGACAACAAATACAGCAGCTAACTAGACAAGGATTCAGCACAATTAAAATCCCGAGGCAGGGTGACTAGGGAAAATGGAAGTCACTCAGAAGAATCTCTACACATATTTGAAAGGATGTTAATTTTCCTGCTGTGTATAGGTTTACAAAAGATGAACCAAGCAAGCTAAAGATGTGGAGATATCCAAGAGTCACCTAAACAATGTAAAGAGATGGAAGCCAACGGCCAAAACATCAGCAAAATCTCAGCCAAAATCATGCAAGGAGATGGGTCTAAGACGTTTCTCTGATTTACAAATATAAGCAAAAACACTATGAGAAAGTCAAATGGTGTAAGATTTTTCTCAGCTTAAGATTAGAGCATATAAAGCCAAACTCTATTCATGTCTTCAGTTGGCTCGTGAACCTGAGTAACTTGCTCCTCAGGCTTCCAATTGCTCTTGCCTCAGTTTCCCCCTCTATGAAATGAGTGTGTTGAACGTGAATTTCCCATGCCGTAGCACTGTGCAACTACCTGTTAAAATAAAGAAGACAACAGAAACTTCACCGAGGGCATTTTTCCACTTGCACCTAAGATTGCTACAGCTCAGAATTCAGAAATAGCTTTCCTTTCAGAAGGACTAATTCCTAAATCCCTAAAAGTAAATATCAACAACAACAACAAAGAAACCAATTTTAAAGGATACCACTTGAAGGTAAGATCTTCTTCTTACAATGAATGAATAGTTTTTTTCAGACGACATCTTCCACCAATACCTGGAAAATATGGAGAAAATTTGAGAAACATCTGTTCAAAGTTATCAGAGGACCACCAAGGCAGTAAGGACTTGAAAGACCAAGATCTTCAAGAGAAAGGAAGTCACTTTTTCCCTGCATGTCTGTTACTCAAAAGTAACGCACAGGCTGAGAGGCAGAGCAAAGATTTCAGGAATCTCACAGAGCCGGGGAGACAAGGCTTGGAATACAGGAACCACCAAGGAGGAGGGTTCTTCTAAACACCTGAGGCTTTCAGTTGGTACTCCTAAACGGTTATTCCCTGGAGAGTAGATGCCTTTCCATGTAGGAGTGTGTGGAAATATATAAGCCCTTACAAAGACTGAAACTGAGCTTGAATCAGCTCAATCTCTGATTAGACTGAAATGATCAGTTCCTACACTTACTGCCTGCAAAAAGCAAAAGTGAATTCTTTTGGGAGGAAGATAAAAATCATTCAAGTCTCAAATAATCTCCAAAATTTTTATACACAGTGTTTATAATTCAACCAAAAATAATGAGGCAAATTCAAACAGTAAAAAGACAATGATGGACAAAACCCAAAAGAAACAAAAAGAAAATAGAAACAAGCCCACAAAAGATTGAAATATTAGAATTATATGACATAAATGTGAAAATAACTATGACTAACATGTTCAAGAAAGTAAATAAGAACAGAGACAATTTCAGCTGAGAACTAGAAATTATAAAAAAGGAAAGGAAATGGAAATTTTAAACAGGAAAATAATCAAAATTAAGAACTCAATAGATGGGTTTCACAGCAGTTTCAAAATGGTAGTAGACAGATTTAGTCAAATAAAAGATAGTTAATAAGGAAATATCCAGGGGCTGGCCCCGTGGCCGAGTGGTTAAGTCCGCGCGCTCCACTGCAGGCGGCCCAGTGTTTCGTTGGTTCGAATCCTGGGTGCGGACATGGCACTGCTCATCAAACCACGCTGAGGCAGCGTCCCACATGGCACAACTAGAAGGACCCACAACGAAGAATGTACAACTATGTACTGGGGGGCTTTGGGGAGAAAAAGGAAAAAAAATAAAATCTTTAATAAGGAAATATCCAGACTGAAGGACAGAGATCCAAAAAAAGTAGAAAGCACAAAACACAGCATAACAGATATGGGACAACAAGAAAGTACCTTATTTTTGCAATGGAAGTCTCAGAAAGAGAAGAATGATATAATTGGGAGTGAGATGCATTTGTATCATGCCAACTTAGCCAAGCTACAAGTACTTCTGCTAGAATTTTCTTCCCTACATAATATGGATTATGGCCAGTTACAAGAGACATTTTGTGCAAGATTCAGAAGACAAAAGTAAATTATCAGTTCTATTACTTTGACATTCAGAAATTCATAAGGGCACAGGTGCTGTTGCAGCTTGCATACATTGTCATTTACCTGCTGACTTACTTTGTAGGCTTGAGGCATCAGCCAGCTCCTGTCAGATTTCCTTCTTCAGTCTCTTCAACTCCTGGGCCAGGCACGTTTTTACCTCCATGTCAGAGAATGACAGCTTCTTCTGCAGGACACCCCATCATCAAAGTGGGAGACTTAGAGTTAGTGCGAGACTGATATGGGTTCCAGTCCATTCTTATTGGTTCCCCATCTTCTCTTCCTGTTTATCTATCCTACTGACTTCAGGTTACAGTGCCAGAAACAAGAGAACCATCTTCCTCTAGGCCATTGAACCATCTTGGGAATTTCATAAGGTCAAATCCCCATAATAAATCTGTGTGTGTGTGTACATATATCTCCTAGCAGTTCTGTTTCTCTGATTGAACCTTAATGCAGGATAGAAGCAATATTTGAAGATATCATGGCTGATACTTTTCCAAAACTGATGAACTACATCAAAACATAGATTCAAGAAGCATGATAGAGTCAATTGCTGAGCATGATAATTATAAAGATGTATTCATTATAGGAAAAACTGCTGGAAACCAAAAGCAAATAGTAAATCTTAAAAAGTAGCAGACCACCACCAGATGCTGGGAAGGGTGTGAAGCAAGAGGAACCCTCATTCATTTCCGGTGGGAACACAAAATTTATGCCAGTTTTTCAGTTTCTTACAAAACTAAACATACTCTTACCATACAATCTAGCAATCATGCTCCTTGGTATTTACCTACATGAAGTGAAGCCTTATGTCTATACAAAAACCTGCACATAGATGTTTATGGCAGCTTTATTCATAATTGGCAAAACTTGGAAGTAACCAAGATGTCCTTCAGTAGGTAAACAGATAAACAAACCATGGTAATCCAGAAAATGGAATCACTCACTACTAAAAGGAAATGAATTATCAAGCCATGAAAAGACGTGGAGGAAACCTAAATGCATATTACTAAGTGACTAAGTGATATTAGAAGCCAATCTGAAAAGGCTACACACTATATGATTGATTCCAGTCAATCACATGACATTAGAAAATGTATACAACATTCTGCAAAATGTAAAACTATGGAGAAAGTTAAAAAGAAAAAAAAATAGGGGTTGCCAGGGGCTGAGGAAAGGGAGAGATGAATAGGAGGAGTACAAAGGATTTGTAGGGCAGTGACACAATTCTGTATGGTATTACAATGGCAGATACACATTATTATACATTTGTCAAAACCCACACAACCCATAGAATGAACACCAAGAGTGGACCCTAATATAAACTATAATGATGTGTCAATGTAGGTTCACTGATTGTAAAAAATGTACCACTCAGGTACAGGATGCTGACGGTAGGGGAGGTTATGGAGAAAGAGTGTGGACAGCAGGTATATGGGAATTCTGTGCTTTCTGCTCAGTTTTGCTGTGAACCTAAAACTGTTCTAAAAATAAAAGCTTTTTTAAAAAAAAATAAATAAAGCAGAATGAAAGGCTTATTACCATTAAAGGAGCAACAGTAAGACTGATGACAGACTTTTCAATAGAAACAATAGAATCCAGCAGACAGTAAAATAGTATTTTCAAAAGACTGAAAACACATAACCACCAACCTCTAGAATTAGATGTTGTTATACCCAGCAAAACTGTCCTTCAAAAAATGAAAACAAGCTGCTTGGGGATGTAGACGGTTGGAAAGAGCACTGTTCTCACACTAAAATGAAAAAAGCTGGACAATGTGGAAGTTCATCACTTTCTAGAAACCACTGGAGAACTCAGATTGCAGCACAACCAAATGACCCAAAATCTAAGGAGATATAGACACCTTCCATGAAAGATTGCTGGTGTGCCTGGGGTAGATACAAGTGGATACTCATAGAAGAGTTCAGCTAGGGTAGTTGGTGACTTGCTAGAAACTGAGTGGGCACTGGCCAGTGTGTAAAGCCCCTGGGAGTCAAAGAAATTGAGGGAATCAGCACCCTCTTCAGACTTTTTGTCCATGCACCCCACCAGGAGCTCACAGATGTCAGAAAGAGCCCTACAAAAGTGTGCCTCGAGGTGTAGACCTGGAAGAGAGGAAGAGCGGGTGCAATGGGAGAGGTACAAACTCCACCCACACTTTCCTGTATCCCTTCTAGGAAACAAAAGCTGTAATCTGTAGTGGGAAGGGCAACATACACTGTTGCCTTTAGGACACTAATTAAAACACATTGCAGGTCAAAGAAGGAAACTAGGGAGAAAAACACCCTACCCAGTGGGGATGGAGGGGGCAAGAATATGTGCTGGGCTTGGAGCTATAGATGGTTCCAATACAGGAACAGCTCTCTCTATTTTTTTGGGGGGGGGGGTACTTAACATTCATTTGATTAACTCATTCCAATTATTTTTCCAGTTTTATTGACATATGATTGACAAATAAAAATTATACACCTTAAGGATATATATGTGACATTTTGATCTACCCATACATTACAAAATGACAATTTGATATATCTATACATTATGAAATGGCAATTTCATATACATACACATTACCAAATGATTACCACACTCAATCTAATTAACAGAGTAGCAGAGACACTGAAAAAGCAACACTTCTGAGACACAGGGACACAGCACCTGACTAAGACTAGGTTTAACCAGAAGAACAGAGAACCCCCAGCCTATTATCCCACAATCACAAGGCTAACCAGCAGTAAATAACGAGCAACGGTGTAAAACTCCCTAGGGAGGGAGAGAAGAGGGGCAGGGGCATAGAAAGAGACCTTCTCAGAGGTGCAGCACAAAAGGAAGACCTGAAAGTGAGGAGGGAACATACATTGAAGAAAAGCCCTCTGGCAAATCTGCGCCCACCCTAAACACTAGATGTCACTAAAGAAATTTGAAGCCTAGGTGTGCTGAAGGTAACACAGCAATGACAAACCTCAACCCAAGCCCCATTCCTATTTAGCTTAATTCAGATCCCCCCATAAAAGAAATAGTAGAAGAAAAGGTGTGCTCATTCCAGGCGAAAATTATTGACTCCACTCTCTACTGCCTATGCAAGATATATGGCTTTCATCAAAAAATGACGAGGCATGTGAAAAGGCAAGAAAAAAATCACGCACTCAAAAAGGCAAAGCAATGATCAGAACCAGACTCAGCTATGACACAGATGCTGGAACTATCTATCAGGAATTTTTAAATAACTATGATTAACATGTTAAAGTTCTAGTGGAGACAGTGGACAACAGGCGAGATCAGATGGGAAAGTTCACCAGAGAGATTGAAACCTTAAGAAAGTATCAGAAGCAAATGCTAGAAATTTAAAAAAAAAGAAACATAACAGAAAAGAAGATCTTCAATGGACTCATCAGTAGATTTTGACCCAGCTCAGGAATGAATCAGTGATGCCAGGCCAATAGAAATTACCTAAACTGAAACACAAAGAGAAAAATTATTTCAGACACACAGACACACACACACACACACACACACACACACATACCCTTCATATATCCTATTTAAACTGCTGAAAACAAAAGACAATGAAAAAATATTAAAGTCAGCCAGGCAAATAAAACACGATACACACAGAGGAGAAAATAAGAATTAATCAGGCTTCTCATCAGAATTCAGGCAAGCTAGAAGATAAGGGAATGACATCTTTCAAGTGGTGAAAGAAAAAAAAAGCTGTCAGCCAGAATTCTCCACACAACAAAATCAAAAGTGAAAGAAAAATAAAGACTTTCTCAGATGAATAAATACTGAGGGAATAATGGCCAGCAGATATGGTCTGTAAGAAATATTAAAAGAAGTTATCAGGCAAATGGAATATGATATCAGATAAAAACATGGATCTGCACACAGAAATGAAGACGACTAGAAATGGAATAAATGAAGGTATGAGGAAGTGTTTGCTTTTAATTGCTTTAAAAAATAACTGACTATCTAAAGGATAGTATCCATGTATATTGTTTTATATCACATATAAAACAGAAAATATATGACAAGATTAGCATGAAGAGTTGAGGGATGAATTGAGGATATACTCATTCTTACACTACGTATTAACGGATGCTGTATCTTGTCAAAAGCCTTCTCTGCATCTATTGATAAGATCGTGTGATTTTTATTCTTCATTCTGTTAATGTTGTGTATCACATTGATTAATTTGTGGATGTTGAACCAACCCTGCATCCCTGGAGTAAATCCCACTTGATCATGGTGTATGATCTTTTTAATGTATTGTTGTATTCAATTTGCTAGTATTTTGTTGAGGATTTTTGCATTGATGTTCATCAGTGATATTGGCCTGTAATTTTTTTTCTTTGTGTTGTCTTTGTCTGGTTTTGGTATCAGGGTAATGTTGACTTCATAGAATGAGTTTAGGAAGCCTCCCCTCCTCTTCAATTTTTTTGAAAAGTTAGAGAAGGATAGGTATTAAGTCTTCTTTGAATGGTAGAATTGACCAGGGAAGCCATCTGGTCCTGGACTTATTTTTTGGGAGGTTTTTGATTACTGTTTCAATCTCCTTACTTGTGATTGGTCTATTCAAGTTCTCTATTTCTTCTTGATTAGGTTTTGGTAGGTTGTATGATTCTAAGAATTTACCCATTTCTTCTAGATTATCCAATTTGTTTGCATATAGCTTTTCATAGTATCCTCTTGTAATCTTTTTTATTTCTCAGGTGTCTGTTGTAATTTCTCCTCTTTCATTTCTGATTTGCTTATTTATTTATTTATTTTAAAAGATTGGCACCTCAGTTAACATCTGTTGCAATCTTTTGGGTTTTTTTCTTTTTCCTCCTTCTTCTTCTCTTCAAAGCCCCCAGTCCCGCCCAGTACATAGTTGTATATGCTAGTTGTAGGTCCTTCTAGTTGTGCTATGTGGGGGGCCACCTCAGCATGACCTGATGAGTGGTGCTAGGTCCATGCCCAGGATGCAAACCAGTGAAACCTTGGGCAGCCAAAGTGGAGTACACAAACTTCACCACTCAGCCATAGGGCCAGCCCCCTGACTTTATTTATTTGAGCCTTCTCTCTTTTTATCTTGGTGAGTCTAGCTAAAGTTTTGTCAATTTTGTTTATCTTTTCAAAGAACCAGCTCTTAGTTTTGTTGATTTTTTTCTATTTCTTTTTCTTTTTAGTCTCCATTTCATGTAT